ATATGAACAGAAGCAGGCCAAGGGCGGCCACTTACAAAGCGGCGTTTATGCTCTGCAGGCAGCTGACCAATAACGCCACGTGGACGCACGATAAGGTGTGATATTGATAATAAGTGCTATTTTCGGTGGGGGGGTTCTCGCCTGCAACATTGGGCAGCACTCAGCAGCCCCGCGTGCCAATGCTGCTTATTTGAGGCTCCATTGACCTGGGGTCGGGAGGCGGTGGAGGGGGGAGGAGGGGAGGAGGCCCTCGTGAGGTGAAGGATCCGATTAGGAGCCGTTGGAACATTTCAGCCTCGGAGGCCGCCCGGGTAACTGCCACGAAGAACACGGCCACTTACCGCCCGGAATGGACTGGCGTTCGTCGGGAGGCTTTCTGGCCGCATGTGCGTGCGTGCGCGTGAGCGCGTGAGGCTTGCGTTTGCGCGTTTCTTATGAACAAGGTTGTTGAAAAATGGATAAAAGGTGCAACTCATTCCCCCAGTGCCTCGTGGATGCAGCGGTCTTGGACAGCTCAGGCAATTACGCTATTATAGTCACCCCATTGAGCCGCTTCATTGCAGGAAAATAGACTTCCCACCAAGACACGCTTAGCACTCTCCTCCTACGCCTCTTCTTCGAGAAGGGCCGGCAACTCTTCCTGTCGTGCACAGTCCCTGGGCCATTTGAGCAAAGCGACTCAATGAGAAGAGTACGACAGAGCGACAGCTAACCAGACGACTCAATGCATCTGTTGAGAGAGGTTTTAGAGCCAGCCGAGACCAGTTGAGATTTTATTGAGACGAGGGGAAACCAAATGCAGCAACGTGCATTTTTTTGGTGGTATGAAAATAAGAATAAATTGAAATGCTTCACATCAGAGAACTTTAACGGTGATACATTGTCAGGGAATAATTTCCCTCCTTTCATGAGCAATTGGGCATCGCTCATCTCCCCTTGGCATCCCTGAGAAAGTTATGGAAATTCTACATTACTGTGGCAGAGGACCAGTCTCTGGTTGGTGACAACTACCGTTGACCACCCACAAAGTGGTCGTCTTTATTGAACCTACAAGGACGACGGGTTCGAACAAACGCCCTTACCGGGATATGAACTGGCAACCTTCATGATACAAGTCGACGTTGCTGTATCACAACAGGGCCACCCAGACAGATGAATGAGACATTGTCGAGGTTTAATTAAAACGATAAACATATGGGCGAGCAACTTGCACAATAGTCACGAGAGTTGTTAGAAGACCAAGAACGGACAGTTTTGCTGAGCGCGCAGGAGAACTAACGCGGAAAAATCGTGAGAAAGTAACAAGGGACAAAGTCCTCACTTCAATGAAGTTGTTCAGTTGTATATCTGTATTGTGCGCACTGGCGTTAAGTGGTGCCTGCGTTTCCCTTTACGGCGTCTGACTACATTATTTTATTTTCTCAACCCTCGCTCGGTGCCCCAATCCCAACAGCGCACACTTACTTTGGGCTAAGTCGACCTGGGGGAGGGCTCCCGCGGGGGTGCAGAGGGCAAATTCATTCCGCTGAAAAACGTCAGCAGGCCGCCTTCAGCAGCCAAGGAGGTTGAGTTGAACCCTGATCACCGAGATGGACGTTGATGTCGTCTCCTATAGACGGAGGGACGCTGCCACGGTGGCGCATTAGTTAGCCGCACGCGGATTTTCGCAAGCCAGAGGGCACTGGGTTCCATTCCATCTCTTGGAATTGTTGACACAATTGGGAGTTCAAACAAAATGGTGCAAGTCTTTTTTTTTTAATGCCACCCCAGCCTGCCTCAGTCCACCCAGCAGTTAAACAGTGAATGGGCGGAGCCACGACGGGTCAGACATGGTGGGTAAAGCGTGGGTATCGTCACTTCTTCCATTGAGCCGCTTCATGGAAGAGTAGACCAGGTACCCTCCGGGAGGGTTCGCTAGAGCTCCCTCCAGTGGAGGTCCTTCCATCAGCAGTGGCGTGAGCAAGACATTGCAGGGCTGCACCTTATTCCTAAATATATATATATTTTTTTATGACGGTTGGTTTGATTTTGTAGTTCATGGAATTCCATTTATGGTCTAAATTTCGATTTAAAGCTTTCGTCACTGCAGGTATTCATATACTTGGTTCTATCGGTAAAGTCACAAATAATAAAATAATACAAATAAAACAATAACATTTGTGAGAATGTTATTGTTTTATTTGTATTATTTTATTATTTCCCTTCTACGTGACTTTACCGAACGAACCAAGAATACCATTTATAGTCATTTAGGGGGTGCGTTAGGGTACAACTGTGTGGCATGCATATAGCATACCTGGTCACGTGACCCGCTGTGACTGTTTAAGGGCTCCTGCTGGAGATGACGTGAGATCATGAACGCCTGTACCGACCTACAACTCTGTGTACTGCACAGGTGTATGTGCCTTACCGTGATTGTACTTTGTATTCACGTGTTCCTCGGTGTTGTCTCCAACCTTGTCACCATCAGATATTAGGAAGCCACTGGGACGATACACTTTTAGATTTATATTGCAAACGAATTTCTTGAGAACTGACTTTTTGCGTTTATCTGTGTTGTCCTTTCCCACCGATTAACACAGTTGGCTACGTACGGTGCGAAAGAAGTTCAACATACGTAAACGCATTTTAGTAGTGTACTCTTATTTCTTTGCAAGCCAGGTATCCATCGCAAGAGACTGGTCCCAGCGAGCGCGCACCTGGTTACAAATACAAGTTCGGGTGGCGTGCTGTCGCATTGTTTACACTCAAAGCAATCAGGCAGCATTTGCTTTATGATAGGGGGTGACGATGTACAATAAATTTTGATTAGCGTTAAGTTTCAACTCCTTGGACTGGCTAGACCATTTAAAAAACAATCCGAGCACAATAATGTTTGCGCACTCAACCCACAAGCTCCAAGCAAGCCCCCTTTTCACCCTTATCTAAAGTACCGCGTGGATATTTTATAGGGGAGCGTTTGCAGTGAATCTACTTCCTTGGTCAGTTTATTTAGGGCTCCAGGAGGATCGCGCGGGGCCATGTGTTCGGCAGACACAGAAAACCCGTTATTACAACCAGGGTTGCTCTGTGAGAAGTGCAATCTTTCGTGCTAAATCGCTGCATCTCAAATATAATTAGCGGCATGGGAATTCAAAGGCTGGTTATTTTTCTTATTTTTTTCTTTTGTTTTACAAGAAATAACTGTATTTGTACGCACACACCCAAAAAAAAAGGCACATCAGGATATATTTTTCAGGAGGTCTCCAATTTCCGCCGCCGTCCTATCCAAATACCAATAATCCCTGCCGTAAGAATGTGGAATTTCTAGCAATGGCTTAAGCCTGCCACGTTGAGAAGTGTGCCAGCCTCATTTTTCTCACTTTGAGCATAAAGACGCTTAGAATCCGACCTAATTCCGGATGTTTGACCGATTCTGTTGCAATGTTTTTGTTTCTTGTGGGAAGAAACTCAAGTTCCCAAGGGAAAAAAAAAATCCACAAATACGAGGGGGATAACAGTGAGCCAGTTTCTCCATCTCCGCGGTGTCCGACTCTCTCTCTCTCTATGGGATGTGTTGTCTCTTTTTGCTGCCATTCCATCACCAGTCTTGTCCATCGGCCGTGCACGCTTGCATCACGTGTACGTTTTGTATGCGTGCATACACGTACGTGTTTTAGAGAGTAGAGGTAAGTTTACTCCAGTGTGGGGAAACGCTTACAATGGAAACCGGGAAGTCAATAAAAAAAGAAAAGCGTGATTGGCTTAAAAAGGGCTTTCTTGATTGCTTAGCTAATTACACGCATTCATAAATCTTCTGTTCTTACAAAACTTAAGCTCAATCAAGTGATTTCCTTGTCATAGAAAATTCCCGTGGCCCTTTGGGTTGCACTGTTGTATATTTGGCTGCTGTAGATTCCTACGTGATAAGCCACTTCGTTGAGCTATCATTTGTGGCCAGGTCGCTGCTGCAAAACAAGCTGATATAGCTCAGTGTGCCTTACCTGGTAAAACAATAATTATAGAATTTGCCAGTATTACGCTTTTTTTATGAGTAGAAACTGCTTACACACACACAGACCCGCGGGCACATTCATAGACACACATTCTGCAAACATATTTATTGTAGCTTGATACGCAAACATGATGATTGAGTGAGAGGTGTTGGAATCCGATGGCAGGAATATTGTGGCAAGAGAGGAATGAGCGACGCGGAAATCCCGAAGAGAATGTGGCGGGTGAGTGCTGCGCAGTGGCGGACTATCCTCGTAGCATCACATGTAGTAGCTACTACTACTACACATGTAGTAGCTACTACTACTACACATGTAGTAGCTACTACTACTACACATGTAGTAGCTACTACTACTACATGTAGTAGCTACTACTACTACTACACATGTAGTAGCTACTACTACACATGTAGTAGCTACTACTACTACACATGTAGTAGCTACTACTACTACACATGTAGTAGCTACTACTACTACATGTAGTAGCTACTACTACTACACATGTAGTAGCTACTACTACTACATGTGTAGTAGTAGTAGCTACTACTACACATGTAGTAGCTACTACTACTACACATGTAGTAGCTACTACTACTAGTGTAGTAGTAGCTACTACTACTACACATGTAGTAGCTACTACTACTACACATGTAGTAGCTACTACTACTAGTGTAGTAGTAGCTACTACTACTACACATGTAGTAGCTACTACTACTACACATGTAGTAGCTACTACTACTAGTGTAGTAGTAGCTACTACTACTACACATGTAGTAGCTACTACTACTACACATGTAGTAGCTACTACTACTACACATGTAGTAGCTACTACTACTACACATGTACTACTACTACACATGTAGTAGCTACTACTACTACTACATGTAGTAGCTACTACTACTACATGTGTAGTAGCTACTACTACACATGTAGTAGCTACTACTACTACTACTACACATGTAGTAGTAGTAGCTACTACATGTGTAGTAGTAGTAGTAGCTACTACATGTGTAGTAGTAGCTACTACTACTACATGTGTAGTAGTAGTAGCTACTACTACTACACATGTAGTAGCTACTACTACTACACATGTAGTAGTACACATGTAGTAGTAGTAGCTACTACTACATGTGTAGTAGTAGCTACTACTACTACATGTGTAGTAGTAGTAGCTTCTACTACTACACATGTAGTAGCTACTACTACTACACATGTAGTAGTAGTAGCTACTACTACACATGTAGTAGCTACTACTACTACTACACATGTAGTAGCTACTACTACTACACATGTAGTAGCTACTACTACTACACATGTAGTAGATACTACTACTACACATGTAGTAGTAGTAGCTACTACTACTACTACATGTAGTAGCTACTACTACACATGTAGTAGCTACTACTACTACTACACATGTAGTAGCTACTACTACTACTACACATGTAATAGCTACTACTACACATGTAGTAGCTACTACTACTACCACACATGTAGTATCTACTACTACACATGTAGTAGCTACTACTACTACACATGTAGTAGCTACTACTACTACACATGTAGTAGCTACTACTACTACACATGTAGTAGCTACTACTACTACTACACATGTAGTAGCTACTACTACTACTACACATGTAGTAGCTACTACTACACATGTAGTAGCTACTACTACTACATGTGTAGTAGTAGTAGCTACTACTACACATGTAGTAGCTACTACTACTACACATGTAGTAGCTACTACTACTACAACACATGTAGTAACTACTACTACACATGTAGTAGCTACGGGCCCCGCACTTCCAAGGGCCCTGCCCTAAATGTTTTCAAGCTATCAATTCCGGTTCAGTAATTCTGCACTTACAATAGTACTATACTGCCTTCAACTTTTATTAACGACTGGGTGTTTAAGGTTAGCGATTTGTCGTACTATCTGACTGTATAGCAAGTGAAAAAATACAATAACTTTACTGTGCAAGTTAAAAATTTGTGTTTTAATATTTACGTTTTTCTTTATTTAGGGCCCCTTAATAACAACATACGCTACAGGCCCCGCACTAGCTGAATCCGGCACTGGTGCTGCGGACACAATAACGCGGCAGGGTGGAGAAAGGGCCCGTTACAGAGGCACCCATCGGAGTGGCCTCCACAACTCCGGCAAAACGAGAGGATGGCGTGACGGGCAGGAGGGGTGGGAGACTTGTGGCGTGGATCTTGGAGGTCGCGTCGAGGTCAGTGTGCGCTGCGCCGCGAAGCCGGGGGCCTGGGTTCAATTCCCGCTCGCGGCCAACACCGGTGACGATTTTCTGAGCCGGTCCTGGGCCTCCCCTAGGTCGACTCGGCCTCAAATGAGTACCTGATGCGGTGTGTGAACATCGCCACTGGGGAGACAAAGGCGGTCGGGCGTGGTGCTGGCCACCCACCCCCTCGTGTGCCACAGTGCCGGCTTGCATAGGTGCTGCCTAACAGCGCTTTCCCCAACAGTCTGTTAAGGCTACATGGGGGACCTTTATCTCTGTTTGCTGCCTGCGCAGCAAATACGGGATGAGGCGCAGGGAGGGTAGAGCGTTGCCAAGACGTCGCGGTGACGGTGGTGTTGGTGGTGGTGCCATCAAGGGCTGTGGCCATGACGACGTCGTGGTCTGGCTTGTGCGAGGATAAGGAGTGATTAGATGCACGTGGCGGGGGGAGGTTTGGCCCATACCGAGAGATTCATTTCTTTGGAGGCAAGGCTCGCTTGATTATGCAGATTTGTAAAACTCCCATTAACCCGCGGGGCTGCCTGGTGCCCACTCGGCGCTGCAGGGTGGGACACGTGGGTGGGTTCATGGACACGTGGGTGGGTTCATGGACACGTGGGTGGGTTCATGGACACGTGGGTGGGTTCATGGACACGTGGGTGGGTTCATGGACACGTTGGTGGGTTCATGGACACGTGGGTGGGTTCATGGACACGTGGGTGGGTTCATGTACACGTGGGTGCGTCGAGCGTGAACCCCCCCCACTTATGCGTGGAGTCTTTCCGTTGTTTTTTTTCCCCTCACACAAGTTCTTAAAATAAAAATATTAAAATATCCCAAATGCAGGACCCTTCCGGAATAGCGTTGAGACTTTTTTTTCCTGATAAATAAATGACACGGATATTGCTGTGCTATTATTTACTTATTACCTGAAGGAACTGTTGGCCAAATAGTAAATAATTGAATGGATAGAAGAACAGCGGATGAATGTCATTGAAGATGCACATCTTAATTTAACAAATATGCAAAAATACCACGTATACTCCATTGTATTAATTGCCACTGTTATGTTTACGGACCACATGCTCTATACCAATGGTGCTGCTGTTAAGCGTACTGAATCATCACGGAATATGTGCACATGGTATCACAAGTGCATCTTGAAGGGCCCTCTTATAGGCCTATGCATTTCAAATCGACTGTTTTTGTTTTCGTTCAGCATACATTAGCGCAATATATCGTTTATACACCTCAGTAATATTTTTTCCAACCTCACGAAACGCCTTGTTTTTGTTTGTTTTGCTTTAATTTATTTATTTTATTTAAAAGCTTCTGTTGTTGATGTGTGTGTGTATGTAAATATTCATAATATTCGAGCCATTCGTCCTCGCGTTTGCTCGGTGTCCCCAGAATCTCCTTGAGCTGCACGAACGCTCCGAGCCGTGGCCCACAAATGCAGCTGTTGTTTTGAGAGCTTTCGCACAGCTTTACGAAATTGCCTTGGAAGTGGCAGAATTCGCAGCTGCATTGATAGCCGCGGCCCTCTCCACTGCCGACCGTATTTACCTTGGACACAGGCGAGCAGTGTCCACGCTCTGAGCTTGTCCGTGTGTGCGTGCTTTTTTTTCTTCATGCAACCATCCAGTGGCCAATATGTTTGCTTTGGATTTTGCGCGTAGGCAGACCCAAATGGCTTCGGGATTTTTTTTATTTTCCCTTTGAGAGTCTCGCGGCGGAGGAGGGGCTCGCGCCGCCAGTCGCTGCAGACATTTCTCCCCTCTCGGCCGAGGTGAATGCCTCCCTCTGTGCCGCCACGCGAGACTCCGATTCGTACGCGATGCACCGGCGACATTAACACTCTCGCTCTCCGCGCTCAGAAACGCAAACTCTCGCCTTCGCCCGAGCGCGGCCTCCCTCGGACAAAAAAAGAATCGCTCGAGAGCGCGCCCGCACGTGGCCCTGAGACGCGGCCTTGCGAGGGCACGGGTGGCCGGGCCTTTTGCGCGTTCGCCGCAGCGCCCGGATTGGCGAACGTGCGCGCCAGTAGCGCGCAACTTCGGCGATTCGCGGCTTCTCGCGTCGGGACTTTTCTGCCGAGTTCGCAAAAAGGCGTCGGCAGGAATGGGTTAAGCCGTGGCAGCTTTGTTTACCTTGGCAAGGAGCTAATAAAAATTTTCATCTGAAGGGGAAATGTACACACGGCATTCTTGTTTGTCCTGCATTATTAGCAGCCAAATCGAGGTCTTTGTAAAATTGTCTGCAGGCGCAGTGCAAACATGGAAGGAGGCTCTCGCTGTAGGAACGCCTGCCCCTCACGGCGGGGTCATATTAGCTGCCTGCAAATCATTTCTGCATTTTTCTTTTAAAATTCTGCGCAGAGCGGCGACGCACTTGGGGCCATTTTTTTACCGGCCCCTTAAACCTCTCCTGGCAGGTTAACGCCGAACCCTTCTGAAGGTTTGAGCGTTTGCCACGGGAAGTGAGATTTTCTCTTTACATGCCCACGGGGATAACAATCCGTTGCGGCTTTGTGGGTGGCGGCATAGACGCGTGAGCGCCCACGGAAAAGTCCGGAGCCTAGGACGCGATGAGTGACCTTGATGAAGAACTTGTGTTGCTTTTTTTCTAAAACGGTCGCCCTTAATTGCGTTGCGCTTGGTTCGGTCATGTTCCAAGTCGTTAATCCCTACCTGGAAGACCACGATGTCTTCCACCTCGACCACTTGTGGTAGCACACCACACAAGCACGTTAATGTCGCCGGCAAAATCACTCTTCCTCTTGCAGGTGATTGTTGTGTCCGTGGAAGTATGCGGAAGGCACTGGGAGCGAGGTATCGTGACTCTGGGTTTTTCCTCAAAATTATTCCCAAATTTCCTTCAAATCTTTCCCTGAGAGTTTTCAGATTTTTTTTTTGCCTTCCAGATTTCCCAGCCTATTTCTCTATTCTTCGGTTAACACAAAAACGAGGTGACCTCGAATGACCCTTTAAAACGTGACATTATTAATATATTTCAATAGAACGTGTTGTTATTTATTTATTTTTAAAAAACGATGCACCCTTTGACGGTGCGTTTACCTTCTGGTGTCGCACCGCTCGCCCCGTGTCAGGCCGTGCACTCCTCGGTCACCCCCTCGATTATATCCCCATCTGCGGAAACCCACCGCAGAATAGCTTAGCTATGCAAACACTCGCTCATAACGGAGATCTATATTCAGGGTGATCCATTCACAGGTACCCCAATGATTTCCAATGATCCTCGCCACGTTTCCTTCAGAACGGCCGATTGATTGAATGTTGTGAAAGGGACGGCTCCGTGTCTTGCAGAGAGGAGGGTGCGGAAGAGATGAGGGGAGCGTGAAAAAAAGATGTATTGAGTGCCTTGAGATTGGTGAGGTGATTACGTAGAGGCACTGAAATGTAACGCCGTCTCTATGTAATTTCTCCATATAATATGTAATGGGGTATCCATAAATGGATCGCCATTTTTATTCTTATCTTTTTTTTGTAAGTGAGCAAATGCATCGTTTGGGAAGTGGCCCTTCACCAGCGCAAGAGGAGGTCGAGGATTGTGATTGACATTTGAATGCGCTCACTCGTGCCGTGGTGCTTCCAGAGTGAAGCTGTCAACAAAACGACCGTCCTGCCCTACACATTTAGCCAATTGAAAAACAAACCGTGTGCCAAGCTCGCCAATACATACACATACGTATAAATACATACATAAACATGTCCATAATCCAGTTTTCTTTTTGGGGTTAGAGTGTGTAAATATATAAATGTGTCGTTAAAACCGCCACCACCCGACAGCTAATTAGTAAGGTTTGTCACGTAAACAGGACGTGGCCAATTCTGTGTCCGGTGGTGGTGGGTTTTAACGATCAAGC